AGGCTGGCTGCAGCGTTTGGGAGCCAGGCAGAGCTCCTGGGATGCCTCTGGCTCTTGGACAGAAATCCAGAATACCCAAGCCCGTGCATCTGCAAAGAGGAGACAAATTCCACTTCTCCCAGGCTCACCTGCAGCTCTGGCTTCTTGTCAAAGTGGATTTTGGAGTGATGCTCACCCCAGGAGAAAACTGCATCACCTCTTGTTGCTGAATGAATCATGGAGTCACAGGATGGTTTGGGTTGGAAGGGACATTAAAACCCATCTTGTGCCACCCCTGCCATGGCAGGGACACCTTCCCCTGTCCCAAGGTGCTCCAAGCCCTGTCCAGCCTGGCCTTGGACACTTCCAGGGATCCAGGGGCAGCCACAGCTGCTCTGGGCACCTGTGCCAGCCCTGCCCACCCTCACAGCTAAGAATCCTTCCTAATATCTAAACTAAATCCACCCTCCTTTAGTTTAAAACCATTCCCCCTTGTCCTAACCCAGCACGGTGCAGAGAGAGCTGAGCTCTCCTGGGATATCCAGTGCTGGGAGGAGCATCCCGGCCCCCCGTGCCCCCTGGGTGTGCCCAGCCAGGAGCTGAGGCTCCCTGGAAATGACAGACAGGGTTTGCAGTCCCAGGGAGAACATCCCTGAGTGAGGCATTGGAAGCAGAGATGAGATCCCTGACCTGGCATTTAAATAAGTGCACAGCTGTACTGATGGATAATCTTAATGGCAGGAAGAACAATGAGGGCCCTGGGAGAGAAAACCTCTGGCAAAATGAGATTGAGAAGTCTGGGGTTGCCTAATTAGGGACACGATTAGGAGGGCAAATAACAGAAGTAGTAAAAGTGAAGAACAAACAGAGGACTGAGATCAGAATCTCGAGGACCAGGGCAGTAATTTTCTCCAATGAGCTATATGTAATTTTCTGTCTAATTTATTATCTTGTATGCAAAGATAATTTTATCTGGACTGACATTGCTTGAACTAAAGACTGAAGGAGGACTGGGATGTGTTTGGGACTGAGCCCATTGATTGAGTGCCCTTTCCAGGCTAATCAAGAATTATGTGTAAGTAAAAGGTTTATGAAGAAATAAAATAAAATTTAAAAAGCACACAAAGCTGCTCCTGCCAGAGAGCTGGGCCCAGGGAGGGGGCAGAAACACAAACCCGTGTCTGTCCCCACTGAGTCACCCTTGGAGTGGCAGCATTGCTGTGAGATCCAGGAATGTCCCCAGTGTCCCTGCACTGCCCTCTCTGCTGCTTCCAGCGTCCCATGAGGCTGCACAGAGCTGGATTTGTGATCCAGAGTCCCAGAACCCCCATCTGTCAGTCCCTGCCTCCAGCTCCTGGTGGGGTTTGTCACTCGTGTTCCCAAGAACTTCCTGCAGAGTGAGTGATTCCCAGCCATGGGGACACACCCCCTTTCCACATCAGTATTGAAGTTACATTTATTTCTGCTGCTATTTTTTCCCCTAAGATAATTAAAGACCATGTTTATTTATTCTTTAAACCCTTATAAACCCCCAATTGTTTTCTTCCTCTCTGGCTTTTTTTTTTTTTTAGTGTGTGTGATTTGCCAACCTGTAAGCAGCATTCTGTAATTAGCAATTAAAGGCCACATTTGGAGACTAAATATAAATTGTTATGACAAGATTATTCACTTTGCCAAACAAATGTGTTGCTGATGCATGAAAAAAAACCCCCAACACACAATAATGTGATCAGTGGGAAGCCAGTATTGGAGAATATCACCCTGGCTGGATATTGGGAAGGAATTCCTCCTGGCACAGGGTACCCAGAGCAGCTGTGGCTGCCCCTGGATCCCTGGAAGTGTCCAAGGCCAGGCTGGACAGGGCTTGGAGCACCTTGGGACAGGGGAAGGTGTCCCTGCCATGGCAGGGGTGGCACAAGATGGGTTTTAATGTCCCTTCCAACCCAAACTATTCTGGGATTCCATGTCTGGAACTCACTTCCCACTGGATGTTTTCCACTTTTTTTCTCAGATACAACTAATTTTGTTCTCGAGTTGGTGGGAAGGAGCAAGGCTGGGACAGTTCCCAGCCCTCTGATCCCTTGCAATGAGCCGGACCCGTGGGATTTCCCTTTCCCCTGAGTCCCCACATTAAACCAGCACTGTCCCCTGCCCTCCCTGCAGTGTCCCCTGCCCTCCCTGCAGCCAGCCAGCCATTGGTGAAATTGGAGACTGTGAGACTAAAACTGAAGAGAAAGGAGGAAAAAAAAATCAAAGGAAGGTCTGGGAATGCTCCGTGTGTTTATTTTGCTTGCAGTACTCAATAAAACAGAGTATTCATTTGTGGCTGTTTGCAGCACATCTTCCTCTCTGCAGCCGCTTTCAAAGGAGCCTCAGCATGGCCAAACCTCCTGTGGGACGTGGCTCTGGGGCCACCCTCCTTATTTTGCTTGGAAATAATTGAAATATCTCTAGGAGTTGCTATTACAGGGTCGAGAGCAGCGAGTGAGGAGCAAGAAAACAACTCAACAAATCTTGGCGTGGCACTCGTGCTGGGCTCAGCTCCTTCCCAGGGTTCTGTTCCCCCCTGGATGAAAGGGAAATGTTTGCCCTGGCGTGTGGAGCTGTCCCCACGAGTGTGACCAATCCCCCTGTGACAAACACACAATGGGCTGATTATCCCCTGGCTGAGGGATGTGGTGAAATCTCAGCATTTCGAACACAAACGGAGCGGGGGGGTTGAGCCAAGCAGCCGTGGGTGTTATTCACCACCCTGAGATCCAGCAATGCGAGTGACAGCCAGTATTGAGTGGAAATTGATTATCTGTGTGAAGCAGGGATTAAAAATAGCAGCTTTGTGTCAAACCCCACGTATGTTTTGACTAAATCCTCGATAACAAGGAGAATGGATAAAAGATGGAGATTATACAGAGAACGCCAAAAGCCCAAAAGCCTGGATTAGAGAAGAAAAGGATTTGAGTGGGTTGTGCAATTAACGACTGTCAAGTGCCATCAGCTGGGACTGCTGTGGCCTCTTCTGGGGACACCTTGCCCTTTGGTTTGCCAGCCTGCCAGAGGCACTGCCAGCTCACTGTGCTGCTCCCCTGAGGCTCCCCCAGCTCAGCCAAAGGTCCCGTGTTTGATCCACCCAGTCAATCCGCTTTAATGGTCAGAAACTCTTCCCCGTCATTAAACACGGGACGTTCCCAGGCAGGGTGATGGTCTCAGAAATGCTGTCCTCCCTTTGTTCCCCAGCAGAAGCCCTCGGAATGCTCTGTGCTGGGAAACCGATGCAGTTTGAGCACTTCTTTGCTGCAGTGTGCTTGGAATACACCTTTTGCTGCTGCAGCTGGTGCTCAGCTGCTGCCCTGGGCTTGGTGTGACTGTCCCAGCCCAGGCAGGAGCTGCAGAGCCCAGGTCTGCTCCAAATGACAAATGCCCAGCCCCACACCGTGCCAGGCTCTGTCATTATCACATTTTATGGCACCCACTGTGATCACTGTGCCCATTCAAAACCGCACAATTCCTGCTTCCACAGGAGGAAATGTTTCACCAGACAGGGCAGCACTTACAAATCAAATAATTTTATTGAGTTTCTGCTCCTATAGCATGTGGCACATAAAGAGAATTAAGACACAAGGTGTGATGAGGAATGATGTATTCACCCTTCACTGAACAAAGGATTCATCTCACCCGGGAGCAATGCAAACACCCCCCTGTGCCAGCCGTGATGTGCAGCCAGGGGTGACGAGCTGACATTTGGGAAAATGGAAACTGAAGTTGACCTGAGGATTGTGGCTGATGAGCACAGTCCTGCTGACCTGAGGGGAGGAGAGCCGGCTGCCTCGCCCGCTAATTCTGCCTCAAAACCAAAATATTTGCTTTTGCCTAATTGAATTAGGGTGAAACAAACAGCACTAATGCACTTCTTTAACTCAGAGAAAAATCCAGGATGAGAAAGTGTCCAAAATCCACAGCTGGCTGATAAAGATCAGCTGATTTAGCTGTAAAGCCAGTGCTTGGGATATTCTAACTTCATTCTTGGCCTCTGCAGCCAAGGAACCAGCAAAGCTTCTTTTTTAATTTTTTTTTCCCAGAACTTGACCTTCCTTCAAGGCTTGGACTGAGAAACTTTATTCTTTAAGGAAGTGCTGACAGTCTTAAGAAAAAAGGCTGGAAGCTTTTTTTAGCATTGGTCATGTTTCTGTATTTCCCTTTCCCCCTTGGGTCACCCTTTATTACTTGGATGAGATAAGAAAATAGAGATCCAGTGGTGGTGCAGGGCTCTCACCCATTTCTGTAACATTTTCCCCCTTTTTTCCTGACTCCCACCTGTGGCAAAGCTGTTCCCTCCACTCCAGACAAGGCAGGGATGTCCTGGGGGATGAGCAGCAGCTACAAAGGGGGCTGAAGAAATTGTTCATGCAAATAGCTCTGAGGAGACTTCAGATACAGGGGAAAAAAACCCAGGGTTCCCCTCCTGAGGAATCAACAGCTTTTTTTTTTTTTTAAATATATGACAAAAGGAATCGTGGGGTACACACTGCACAAACTTCTAAGAGCTCATGGACACCTCTACATGAACAGGGGCACGCTGCAGGGCTGGGGCTGACCACGAGGACGGAGCTCTGGTGGCTTGGAAGTCTCTCCCATCTTCTGCCACAGCTTTCCAATGGCCACTGTCCCCTGTCCCGGCCACCTCTGCTCTCTGCAGACACCTCCTCGCCCCTTTCCAGCCTCCATAAACACACTAAAAACTATTTTACACGTTATTTTACAGACCAAACTCCCAGCACATATCTCAGTCCACCTTCTCCCTCTGGAAACAGATCCGTACAGCAAAAGCCACAAAAATAACATCACCTTGGGAGACATATTAGACAAAAACAAATTTGACCACGAAACGGTTTCTACCTTTACTTACGCAGGAACCAGAGACCAGAGAGTCCTGCTGCTGCCACCGCCCCTCAGCAGCCACTGAGACTGAAGGCCAAGTGCAAAATTTACTTGGTTTAGTCCCATTTTGCTGTCCCTGCTCCGGATCACGGTGTGGGGGGTGGTTTGGGGGAGGGACAGGAGCCCTGGCTGTCGAAGCTCGCTGCCCGGCCGTGCCACTGGGGGACAGAGGAGAAATCAAGTTAAGCAAACAGGAGAGATTATCTGGGATTATTCCCAATCCTTCACGGTGCTGTCCATCTCAGAATTGCCATCCCATCCCATCCCATCCCATCCCATCCCATCCCATCCCATCCCATCCCATCCCATCCCATCCCATCCATCTCCTGCCCCTCTGTGTTCTCATCTGCTCTACAAGTTCCAATTCATGCCATGCCCGTGTTTAACCACTCAGGAGGAATCGCTGAACAATTTACTTTATTGCTTTGTAAATCAATTCTCAATTGTGAGGATTCCTCACCAGAAAAAAAGGGAAAATAAACAGCGTCTGTGTGTGCTGTGAAAGACAAAGTGCTCTCAGCTCTTCCCTGCTTTATTGCCATTGTCTTTTCGGTTTAAAAATACAGTCTAAACTCAGAAGTACTTGAGTCTTTCCAGTCTGGTGATTTTACTCCACAGCAGCTCTGTCCACAGCACTGGAGACATTTCTCAAAGGGAAAATCAGATCAGAGGCTCAGTGGATGGAGCAAACATTTTTTTTGCCATACTTAGGCGATCATAAATTATTTGTCATCTGCCTTGGGGGCTATTATCATAACTCAAACCCATTATTCCTGAAGGTTTTGAGCACTTGCCCATCTCACCATCTTGTTTTATTAAATTCCAGTGACAAATGATAGACATCTCCCAGAGACAACGGGAGGCAGAATTTCCACTGCCTGGATCAATTCCCTCCCCTCCCACATCAACAGAAACTCTTTGCTGGCTGATATTAATGTTGAAGCATGTATGAATTTCATTTCTCTGGGTGAAAACCCACTTGGGGAACCAGACCTCACTCTTGCCTTGGCAAATGAAAACAAGAGAACAGCAGCTGCTGCTCACAGGGAGGCTGAGCAGGGCAAGCAGGGCCTTGCAGATGCTTCAGGGGTTTGGAGTGGTCAAAAATTTGGCCAATTTGACCAATTTCCTTCCCCAAGGAGACCAGTGAGTGTAAAGTAACTCAGTGCACAGGTTTGAATTGAACAGCCTGTAATTCATCAGGGTTGAGCAGAAATTAATGAATGGAGAAGATGAGAAGCTCGTCCTGCCAAACAGCTTAAGGTAAGGAAACACTTTTTTCAATGTTTCTCATGTCAGAAAAATTGGCTAAAATCCCTGAGGAATTGATAATACGGGTACAACCTCCCCGTGAGAATTGCCAATGAACAGATTGCAGAAATTACAACAGAAATGGGCTTTTGGCAGAGCCTTGCCCATGCTCTTTGCCTCGTGCTGTCTGCATGACAATGACAGTGTTGCTACTCCAAAAATGTGATGAAAATTCTTCCAAGGATAGGTCCAAACAACCAGAGAGGAACCTGGAGATACTATTCCTTCATTTAATTAGAAAAGGTGGACCATGCATTGTGTAGCCAACAGTCAGAAACCAGGATCAGTTCAATCAAAATCAAACAGACCCGGAAGTCTGGCAGGACTTATCTTTAAAGACAAATTATTATTCTTCATTATGGGCATGAGTTGGCTCTCAGCAGAGTTGTCAGTTTTTATCTGGAGCAATGTTTTAGACAAATAAATGCTGCCCTGCTCAATGTCAGAGGCACCTGGCAGCATCAAGGGCACGTTTTGCATGGCACTGATGATGCCATACCAGGGTTTGTCTTCCACACATACCAGGGAAAATCCCCTTTTCAGAAGTTCCCTTCAAAGCCTGGAAGAACGAGCTGTAATTTCCTATTTCCCTGTGTGCACACAGCCCTGAGCCTGGCTGATGGGTGGGGGAATGCAGGAGGAACACGAGTGGGGTGGCTGAAACACCCGGGGAAGGAGCAGCTGCCAGCAGGGTCTGGGGGCTGAACATTGGGAATAACTTGTGCTGAGAGGAAGAATTTATTGTCAGAATAACCCCACAAAGAGGGATTCTCCCTTTCTGCACAGAATTTCGTCTTCTGAACATCTGTGTGAGGAGGATAGCGCTTAAAAGCCTGTAATTAATGATTCATTTGCACATGTTCTCCATGTTCCCTCTTTAATGATGATGGTCATTAGAGAAATGCAGTCATTAGGGTTTGTTATTCACTGTTGATAAATATGGAGCAACCAAAGACATGATGTGCATCTGAAGCGTTTCCCTTTTCGCTGGAGCCTTTTCCAGCAGTGAAAGCAAAGAGGGAGCGGCTCCAGCTCGTGGAGGAAGGGCCCAAGCTGCAGTGGGCACAGAAATGAGGGCTTGGGCCATGCCAGCCCTGCACTGTGGCTGCTGGGACAGCCTGGAGCTGCCCAGGTGGACAAAGAATCCTGGTCCAACACA